TCCCTCTCGGGTTCTCCGTCTCTCATTCTCTCTCTCTCAAATAAATAAATAAAATCTTTAAAAAAAAAAAAAAGAAGTGGCCATGGATGGCCCTTTCCAGCAAATATGTAGAAGGAGGACCCATCTGTAAGCCTCCCGCAAATTACTACTTGGTATTTGGGGTTTCTCGTCGTCGTTTTTAATTGACATTTTAATCTCTCTTTCCAGGCTGGTTGCACAAAGAAGTAAAAAACAGTCCAAAAATGTCTTCACTGAAACTAAAAAAGCGGTGGTTTGTGCTCACCCACAATTCCTTGGATTACTATAAGAGCTCCGAGAAGAATGCTCTGAAATTGGGCACGTTGGTCCTCAATAGCCTCTGCTCGGTGGTGCCTCCGGACGAGAAGATCTTCAAAGAGACAGGTAACAGGGCCCCGTGTCCGCGACGAGCCTGGCTTTGCTCAGATCAAGGGAGTGAGTTTGCTGCCTGGAGTGTGTGCCATGGTTTTTCCCCCAAAAGAAGCTCATTTCTTGTTGATTTATCTTCTGAGGCCATCTGTGGTTAGCTCTGTGGACACTTAGTATTGAACCTATAGTAAAGAAGTCCTGCTTAATTGAGTTGCACAGGTGTTCTTAGGACCACACAAAAACAAAGATTCTCCTGTGGTGAGCTCTTTTCCATCCCTGTGCGGGTGAGAGTCCTGACACAGCCCAAGAAAGCTAAATCCTGACTGTCCATGAGCTTATTAACCTAGAATAAAAAGCAGTCATGTTAGCTTAGTTTTATTCTTGTCAATATTATGAAAATATTTCTCGATTGAGTTTTGTTGAGTTTGTTGAGTTTTAGTTATGATTTTGTGCTTTTAATTTTTTAAGATTTTTTTATTTGAGAGCGCACATGAGCAGGGGGGCGGGACAGAGGGAGAGGGAGAAGAAGGCTCCCCATTGAGCAAGGAGCCGGATCTGGGGCTTGATCGCAGGACCCTGGGATCATGACCCGAGCCAAAGACAGACACTTAACCGACTGAGCCACCCAGGTGCCCCGATTTTATGCTTTTTTAAATATAGCTCCTCTGTTCCAAATGACCGCTTGTTTCAGGACACACACACTGCTTGCTTAGCAGAAGTGCTTTCTTCTCAAGGGAGAGGCTAAGGAAAGGAAACAAACAGGAAGGGAGAAGGAGCATCAGAGAGGGAGGGGAAGCGTTGTCACTCTGGTTCCAGACCCGTGAAAGTGACTTAGTTTCTGCCTATTTTTCTTTCAGAGCAAATGTTACCATTTATTTATTTATTTTTAAAGATTTTTTTTTTTTTAATGTATTTGAGACAGAGAGAGGGCGCTAGCGCAAGCAGGGAGAGCGGCAGGCAGAGGGAGAGGGAGCAGCAGGCTCCACGCGAGCAGGGGAGCCGGACGTGGGGCTCCATCCCAGGACCCCGGGATCGTGACCTGAGCCGAAGGCAGCCGCTTAACCCGCTGAGCCGCCCAGGCGCCCCTGTTTTACCACTGATACATTTAATCCCGGGTTTCATTGTTTTATGTTTATCTTTGCATCTCAACCCGAAGCTCCTCGTGTGGGTGGGTAGGTGGGTTACCTTGCACACTTGGGAATTCAGCGAGAATTGTTGAACTGCTTAACGAGAAGGGCTCCGAACGCCCGCTTGCTGGGTTGCGGGGTTGCCGGTTGCGGGGTTGCCCGGTTGCCGGGTTG